AAACATTGGAATAAAATAGCTTTGGTTCTCAATGTACTGGTGATTTCTCTTCGATTTAGTCTCAAAGACCTCGTAAAGAAATATTAAATATTTCTAGTAAGAAACATCCGAGTGCAAAGGGTTACCTTAGAAGCATTGAATATTTGAAATGATTTTGGAAATAGTTTCACTCGAGTACTACGATGAATATCCAAAGAAACTGAGAATAATCTATTATTACAATTTTTATAGAGACTACGTATCAATCGTATTAACTACTCGATAGTTCTAGTGTCAAATAGAAATCGAGGACAATTAATAGAAGTTTCTCATGCGGAGGTTTGCTTTCGGAAAAAGTTTGCGTGAAGTGGACGCGTTCGGTTACAAGATAAACCTGTCTCTCGTCGGTGCATTCTATTATTTCCGAAATAAGACGTACAAAACGACGTTCGAAATGTTGTAGTCCGTTTCAGCTATAGAATCCCGAGGATCGACTGCGTTCCAACGAGTCCCGGTCGCGTTATCGCGCGACGAACAGCGCGTTCGAGTATGAACTGTATAAAGAAACATTTACATAGCAACGAATCGCGTCGGAGGCTGGCCAGCGAAGCGAGCAGCGTAAATAACGCAATTTGCCGGTATCAGCGGGCCGGCGTCGTATCGCGGGACGCGCGTTTACAGCGAAATAGAAATTATCCCCAGTTAAATACGAGCGGCCACGCGATAGGCTGTCGAACGCGTGCTGAGAGTGAATTACCTAACGGACGAGTAATTCGATAGAGCTCGCGCTACGCCCAGGTTGAATCCAATTAAGGCTGGGCCCCGGATGACTCGCGATTCGCGGTTTTCCGACGGGCCAGGACCAATGTTTACACCGATCCTTGGTTTACGGCGCATCCATAATCGGCGTATCAACATAACCGATAACAAGGATGCCCGGTCTCGCGCGCTCTCGACGTAATACTAATAATTTCACGGCGAGCTACGACCGTCCCACCGTGCACCGGGATTGGATGATTTACGAAACGACCTCTGTTCTTGAAATTACGGAACGCCCTTAGGGTTATCACTTTGCTGTCCGGTGACTTCGCCTTCGCTTCCACCTATTCCACCTTCAATTTCTCTGGGTAATATAAAGTGGAGTAGATTTATTCAAGAATTCGTTGCTGCGTCTTATTTATCCGTAGATCTATTTAACACTGGGTTTACGGAACGCGTCAAATCATATCAATCAATAATTGCGAAAGAAAAAGATCAGAACCAGTCATTCTGACTGGTACGGTAGTTCTAGTGTTATCATTTGAAGTTTAAAATTAAATACATAATTACGAGTTAACTGGTAGTAACTACAGTTAACCGGTCAAACTATCCCTAATCTCGACACAGAAGTCTCCCGTTTTATTCAAAAGAACATCGCCAGCAGGGCGACGTTTTAACGGCGACGCTCCACCTCCGCAAACCAGTTCACCGGAACGGTCCCCTTGATCCAGGCAATCTCAGCGAGCAGCGCAGCAATACTTTCATCCGGTTGAATTCTATTAGCCGTGTGACGCGAACAAAGTGGCACTCCCAAAGAAGGAGATCCCGAATCCGTCCCCGGCGGATCCGCCGGGACAGGGGACAAATTTCCAGATCGACAGTGCCGGATCTCATCCGACGCCGTTGTGTTTTCGCGCACGTCTCCGAGGCGGACGCGCGCGCTCGAGCTCGCACGGCGCTCGCCTATATTAGGTAGAACGCGCCGGTTCTGCCTACCTACTTTCAGAAATTCTGCGCTAACGAGCGATGGAACAGCCTCGCTCCGCTTTCCACCGTGGACATCGCTGCCCCATATCTGCCAAATTGTCGTGAGCCGCGCGCGAGCGAGCGAGCGCATCGTTTTCTTTATTGGCCGGCCGGCAATTTATCGGTGCCCGGCCGTCGCGGCCGACGCACCGTCGACCCGTAAATTCTATTGTACGGAAGTCCGCGAGCGCGCGCGGCCGCTGGCCGGCGAGCAGCGCGCGAAAATTGCCCGTATCGGCCGGAATTATGGAAACACGATACCGCTAACGAGTTCATTCGGCTCGCCTAGTTCGCGCTCACGGGTTAATGGTCATTGTCGTGCCCGCAGCCGGCTCTTAAATATAGGAATTAACCGCGGCCCCCGGATACTTGAGTCAAATTGCTCGTTACATCGGCCGTTCAAGGTGTTTTTAATAGGACTCGCGTGCGCTATGGTGTTACACGGCGCGGGGGGCGCACGACGCTCTGGTATGCCCGTGGCGTTAAACCTTTCGCAGCGGAATCGCTCCCGCGCGGAGCTTGTTGCTGGAAATGTCGTTTCGCTGGAAGTTTCTGTCGGATCGAGTTTTCATTTGGATACGTTCTTTCTTGTTTTAATGAACGTTCGACGTTATTTGAAGATATACTGTCCGCGTAGGAGTAGGAATGTTCTTGCGAAGGTCTAAAGAGAATTTTGATTGGCAGTCTTGAGAGATATATCGCGACTGTTAACCCTTTGCACTCGAGCGCCTTTCAATCGCCATTTGATCTGGCCGAACGAAATAATTAAATTTAGAATTCACTATCAAATTTTATATAATGTATCGACACATGGAACATCGGAATAAACTAGTTCTGTCACTTAATTTATACAAGGTATTTCTTTATGTTAGTTGTAAAACATGTCATTGATATTTCATCAGAAAATAATGAACATTTGTTGAGAAAAATATTCTCGAGTGCAAAGGGTTGAGTGAAGATCTAGCCGAGCATGAAAGTGATTCATGAAGTTGATTCGATCGAGCAAACTTAGAAAAAAGAATGATTAACCCCTTGACCTACAATTACGTGTCACACTCGTGACGAAAATTTTAAACTGAATTCGAGAAACGTGAGTGTTATTCGTTTTCTTTAAATGTGACTTAAACATTACTTTTTCTATTATCAATTGTTACTCTTTCTTTTTCTAAGGAATGATTCATGATAAAGTACCTATATCAATCATAGTTAAGAATTAAATCATAGGGCAAGGGGTTAAGGGAATGCTGTCATTCGAATGTCTAATTTCAAATGTGAAGTATGAGATATTTCTAAAGAACTCATTATATTTATTAGCGTGCGCTGTCCAGAGTAGTCATCGAAACTCACCCCCTAACAAGCGGAGACACTCCCGACGACGACCGTCGGTATTAACACGAGGGAATTCAATTAACCCGCCAAGAATTCGAGGGCAGAGGATACCGGGGAACAGTTCAATGGGAGAAGGCAACCCTTCTCTCGTGATTGCCGCTAATAACCCCTGTAGTTGCGGGTAACCGTCTCCGATCTCACGGGCCTAGCCGCGTGGGGCGGCGACGCAACGCGTCGGAGCACGTGCCTCCTCGAGGGTTAATTTATTTGAGTCGAGGGCTACGCCAGCCGCACGAGGTGTCTCGCGAGGGTGTTTCGACGTAGCGTCTCGGATCTGACTGCACTCAACCGTTCGGGGACGTTAATTAAAGCTCACCCCGAATGTGGCCAGTTTGGGGTTCAAGCAGAGGCGAAACAGCTGAAAGATCGCCGACAGGTCATCGCGGTTGAACGATGAAACGTTGATTTGGTTAACTGATAACTGGGTCTTTGATGTATTAACTGGGAATAGAAATTTTGACGGTGGATTTGGGAACTAGGATTACGATCGATAGAACTGGATCAAGCTACCCTTTGAACTTAGAGCTCCATTATGGTTGATTTGATATTTAACACTAGGTTTATTCTATTGTTCCTGGGGAAGTTGATATTCGTTCATTTAGATTTTGGAAATTGTAGATGTAAAACTAGGCAATCAATAATTTTATACGAAGGAATCAGGAATGGTTTCGACCGTCTAGTTTCAGTGTTAACCCTTAGCACCCGAGATGGTTTCGCAATTTATCAGCAAGTGCAACTAATTTTTATTATGAAAATGAAAAATGCTATAACATTCCTCCGATCTTTTATGTTCCTCCTCAGTAGAAAATCGAACAATTTTAGGGCAGTTTCTTCGATTCATTAAAACATTTGATATACTGGTGCAATATTGGAGGCTACAGAGTTCAAAGGGTTAACAATTATTTCGGTGATAAATGAGGAAACGAGGAATCAAGTCTTGAAGCGTCGAAGTTGATTCACCAGGGAGCAACGAACGTCCGCGAGCAGTTCCGTACGCGGGAACGCTTCCCGGGTTCGATCGGTGCTTTCATCGGCGATTAAATCGGTCAGGCATTATATAAATAGAAGGCCGTGTCATCGTGACGAGCGGCGATAACTCAGATTTCGCAACTGTCCGCGAACTGGATCCAAGGTATCCGGCCATACTTGGACGTGAGCACACGACTGATTACTTTAATCGCTTCGCGGAACAATCCGTCCGGCGAACGACATTCTCTCCTCTCTTTCACATTTTCTGCCTCGCGGACAATCCGCCGCGACCAGTTTTCACAAGCATCATACGTACGTACATATATATATATATATATCAACCAACCAGGAAGGGAAAAAATCCTATATACAAGTACATACACATTCGAATCTCCACGAGCTGTACTATTTGTGAATAATTACTAGATCCCGGAGCTTCATGCATACGCGAGCATGCAAAATAATTGACCGCATGAATTCAGTATAATTAAGCAAAAACCTTTGCGAAAGAACGTAGTTGATTTTCCCTTGAGAAACTGAAAAACTGCTAGAAGAACTTGGCTGTTTTAGCCAACGGTTTCTACTGCGTGCAGGTTTCAAGGAAGATTTGTGTGCAAAGTTCAATGTACACTTTTAACTACATGTTTATATAACTGAGTATATAAATAATCATAAAGAAATGAATATGATACGATCTATAGTTACATAAAAACAATTCCTTGTTCTCTATATTAGTATCGAGCATCTAATCGATCTAGATTTTTCCAAATCAATCATCGAAGATGTAAGTTTCTATATGTATCTATACAGTCTAATTAATTATATAATTGCTATAAATATTTACTCATGACTGTTTAATCGAAAAAACTGTAACTCACCGTTTCGGAGGCGACGGTCTTCACTTCCGCGATCAGCGAAGCGGCCGGTGAGAGATAAGTCCTGAGGAAGTTCTCCAAGTTGCCGTGATAAGCGCAGACCAGGATGTCCCGGGCCTGTCGTATCAGCAGATTGATAACGCCATCGCCGTAAATCGGGCCAAGCAAGTTCCGGACCAACGAGGCGACGTCTCCGCGGCCCTGCAACACAGGAACCCTTTCATCAGCGATTAAATATGGCAGCGCGATACGGCCCTTATCCCCGCGGAATTTTAATGATACACGGATGCTTATCGGGACGAGGCGAACAAACGAAACTCACTTAACCCGTTCGCAGTCGCCGCGCTTCGCGAACGATCCGTCAAAGAGAAACGAACCGATCCTCCGACCGAGATCTCCAGCATTTAATAAGTCGGCGACGTTGCAAACGACGTTCCGCGTAATGAAAAGTCGCGGGTGCCGTCGCTTCGGTACCATTTTAGACCACTTTCACCGGCCCGATAAATACTCGCCGGGAACGATGAGCCATCAACGCGTAACGTAAAACAAGATACTCGTATTGTTAGGATTTATCGTGATATACTCCTACATCCGAGCAGGAGCAAGTGCTCGGCACAGTAACGCGATACGTGCCCCTATCTCCGCGCGATTGTACCGATAGCTCAATGATTATCTCCGCGGTGTCATTAGCTTATCGCGATTCCGAGGAACTGCTTGCGATTCCGTGCGCGGACTATCAATACCGAGCCCGACGTTCAATTACCGGAAAAAAGTACTTCCGTGACTCAATTACGATTCGTATCGAACTTTGTTACGTTAATTCGTATATTACTACCTCGGGAAGAATTAAAAATTTACTTTTGAGTTCTGTGTTTATACGACTGCAATCAAACGATTGAGTAACTCAATTGTAACAGGAAATTTGTAAAGTACCTTAGTTCGTATATTTATATTTGAGAAGTGAATGATAACCTACAGAAAAATTGATTTTCTAGTGAAACTGGCCCAAAAATTGAAGAATATTACTACCTCGAAAAGAAGTAATTAAAAATTTACTTTTGAGTTCTATATCTATACGATTGCGATCAGACGTTTGTGTAGCTCAATTGTAACATAAAATTTGTAAAGTATCTTAGTTCGTATATTTATGTTTGAAAAGTGAATGATAACCTACAGAAAAATTGATTTTCTAGCGAAACTGACAGATTGAAGAATATTACTACCTCGAAAAGAAGTCATTAAAAATTTACTTTTGAGTTCTATATCTATACGATTGCAATCAGACGTTTGAGTAACTCAATTGTAACATGAAATTTGTAAGGTATCTTAGATCCTATATTTATATTTTAAAAGTGAATGATAACCTACAGAAAAATTGATTTTCTAGGGAAACTGACCGAAAGATTGAAGAAGGTGTAAAGCTATCCTATGTTCCAGCTAGAAGACGGTTAGTCCACGACTATGTTTGCTTGAATATTATTTATAGGGGAAGCTGAAAACGTTACTGCAACGGAACACGGTGAAATATACGCATTGTTAGGATTTAGCGCGTTGCCGAACGGCATTCCTCTATTACGTAATGCCCGCGAGGGCTTTCCGCATTCCCAGAAGCTCCCTAACGCGCGAGCCTACGGTTCCGGAAACGGGAAGCGCTCGAAGCGAGGGGACAAGCGAAGTAACGGTCCCAACTTCTTCCATATTGTTATGGAATCATGGCCTACGCCAGGAGAATCTGTTATCGACGCCGATCTCCCCCAACGGTGAGAACAAACAAGGGGGAATAAATTGAATTTTATGGCAGCGCCCGGGATGACTACCAACGAACGTCAGGTACACGTTTTTAGGGTGGGACATTAATTCCGGCAGCATCGTCGTCCCTGTCCCAGCACTCTATGCTATTCCTTTGAGAAAATCGTAGACTCTCTGCACGGGATTATTAGATCGTTCCGGTAGACAATTTAATTAGAAGAGTTAATGCATTCGTCATCCTTTTGAACGTGCTGCAGCTGCAGGGTTGAAGTTAACGGAAACGAAACATTTGTGATATAGAAATAGTGGAAACTAAGTTAAGGGAATTCTACGGTGAGCTTTGTCAAAAGTGAATGATGAATTTTAAAAGTAAGTATTATATTCGACAAGCTATAATCCCTTAAAAATTTCAGTTGATATAAGAAACTGTTAAGTTGATACTATTAACCCTTTAGAAATTTGATTTGATATAGTAAACTAATGATTACTCTTTGAATACACAAAAGGGAATTATCCTAACCTAAGCTCCATCAAAAGTAAATATATTCGATAATCTCGTTACACTAACCCTTCGAAAATTCCACTTAACGATCTCTTCACCACACCCAGCAATTAATAAACCAGTACAAAGCAATTTCCAGTGCAAAAGTTACAGAGAACGGTCGAAAAGTCCCGAGGGGACTGCAGAATTTCGGCAGCGTTTCCTCCGATAACGCAATCATGATCGCGCGGATGCACGATGAGGGCGGAAACACGTGGGCGATCGAGAGCGCATGTATAATGGTTACATCTCGGCGTTCCCTCGCGTGCGTCCGTGCCCACCACTAAACTCCGATGTTTATGCAGTCCGTTGTAACGACGCGACCCGGTATAATGCACTCACATCCAGCCGCTGCGCTGCGCCGCGCCGCTCCGCGACGCGCACGCCACTTGTCCGCTTTGGTATTCGAGTCCCGGCGCGGCGGGCAAGCGATCCGCGCGAGATAGGGCCCCTAGCTGATGCCACGACGAGGCCGTTCCGCGAGCAACGAGCTGATTTTGCACGAAAGTATCTAGTTTACGGTCTCGGGTGGCCGAAGTTTGCATTCCCCCCGTCGCGTCGCGACGCGCGGAAAAATCCTGGCAGGGGCTGCCACTTCGATCCGCCTCGACGGAGGCCGAGGACGCGTCCCGGGTTCCGATGCGAAGAGGATCCGGGGAGGCCAACGCGCCGTTGACGCGGTTAGCCCACACGCTCGCGGAATTTTAACGCTTTGCACTCGGGAGGTGACTCTCAGTCGCCACTTGGCTCGATACAGTAAAATTATAAAGTTTCGTGTTTAACGCTAAACTTTGTACAACGCGTCGCTATGTGAAATATCAAAATAGTTTTGTTTAATTTATCGATTAAACTATTTACATTAGTCGCAACAAGCATCGTCTATATTTTATCAAAGAGCGTCGAATATTTCTAGTGAAAAACTTTCGAGTGCAAAGGGTGAAACAGTCCCAATAAATGGAACACTGCAATCGAGATTGTACCAATCGAATATTCAATATTAAATCTCGCGTAACGTATCGATACACGGAATACAATAATTCCCATAATTTACGCAAGGTTATCCACGTTAGTTACAAAAACATCGATACTTCATCAGAAAGCAATGGATACCCGTAATGAAAAATATCGAGTAAAGGGTTAAATCGTTCTGTTCAACCCTTTCAGGCGAACGTCGACACTCCAAGAAGAAATGTTCATGTCTCGAAGACAAAGTCACGAATAAATTTCATTGTTCGACAGCAAGAGATCAATGCGTAGTTTCTTCTATTTAAGCGATTCATGTATAATTTAGCTTCGTCTGCTGATTTTGTATATTCCAAACCACCATCGTCCGCAAAGGGTTCAATTATATTTCCGTACCGTCTATAGAAAACGTCGTCAATATTTGATTAGAAAGTGATCGGTATCTATAGCGTGGCTATCGAATGCAAAGGGTCAAAGCCGCCTTACTTCGATTTATGGAGCGGCGCAGCCTCCAGGCCCGTTCCCGCCCCTTCGGATTCCCATCGGGACGTCCTGATCCTCCCCTAACGAGTCCTTCATGCGCCGTAGACTTACCCTTTTCCCATAAATTTCGATCCGGCCAAATATTGGCACTGACGCGCCCCGGAGTGGCCTTATTATTCCGCTCGGCGTGTCCCGGGGGAACGTTCACGTGCATACCCCGCCTCGAAATTATTGATACCCGCGTGTCGCCGAACAATGGCAGATTTATGCTACTTGTTTACGAGCCGCACAACGGCCGAGCCGGTGTAAATGGGACATTACAGATTGTAACTGCGATTGAACGGCACGTCGAGCGGCTGACTGCGGCTATTAATTAAATTATGTGTCCCCCTTGTGCTGTGTTATTCTATGCTGGGTAGTTCTGCTGGGGGGAGATGTTTGGAATTGTTCAGCCTTCCTGCTTCATATGTGGATACGCTCTAAGTTATAGGCGTGCCTCGGAGATAGCCAACCTGCCGAGTTAGTTAACACGGTTAACCTGCTAGCATGTAATCGTTTCAACTTCAAATTCACCTTAACGTCAAGCGGAGCTTTCTCTTTTTCAAAGTCTCCGATAAACGGAACACGAGATTCGAAGTAACTATTCTACCATGAGACGACGCATCTAAGAACAAGGTTGTCAAACGTCGATCTTTCTCTGCGAGTTCCATCATCCACCGATCCAAATTTCATTTTCCACCAATCACACTACCCAAAATTCACCAACTCGAAAAAGTGATGCCATTGCTCTCGGTGCGCAATGTCGCTATCTCCTTTAACAATAGACAAGGTTAACCCTTTGCACTTGAAGGTTTTTCACTAGAAACATTCGACACTCTTTGATAAAATATAGACGATGCTTGTCGCGACTAATGTAAATAGTTTAATCGATAAATTAAACAAAACTATTTTACTTTGATATTTCACATGGCGACGCGTTACACAAAGTTTAGCATTAAACACGAAACTTTATAATTTTACTGTATCAAACCTAGTGGTGAGAGTCACCTCCCGAGTGCAAAGGGTTAATATTCAACATAAAACTTCAGAATTCTGAATACACGTTCAGTTGCAGTATTCCATTTATTACACCGTGGAGTTTAATATTCAGTATGAAACTTCAGAGTTCCGCCGCATCAGAGCTGAGAAAGAAGCTCAGAGTTTCCGCTCGAAAACGGAGGGTTAATCGGTCGGTTTACAGGAACGCGTTCATTTATTAATGCGTTTCGCCGGCGCAATGCCGATCTACCATCGCGTATTTATGGCTCGGCGCGCTAACATGCCGGTGATTTATTCCGCGGAAACACGGGATACGAGACAGTCCGGCGACTTTCCTGGTGCCGAGCAAACGAACTGCGAAACCGCCGATTTGCTAAGAGCCCGCTTGACGCTGCGGTGACGGTCGCTAACAGCCGATAGTGGGTGA